TTTCTCAGCATTGTCGCCGTTCTCGACCTGCACCTCATGCAGCTAGACATGAAGAACGCGTTTCTGCAGAGCAAGCTCGATCGCGTGCTCTACATGGACCAGCCGGCTTACTACAACGATGGCACTGGCCGCGTATGCAAGCTGCTGAAGAGTTTGTATGGGCTGAAACAGATTCCTCTGCTGTGGTACTCGGCGCTAGACGCTGTGCTGACGGGCGCCGGTTGGAGCAAGAGCCAGGTGGACGAGGCTCTCTATTTCAGAGTTGGCGACGACGGAGTGGCGTGCTGGGTGCTCGTCTACGTCGACGACCTGCTCGCCGCTAGCAGCAGCACCGCGATGCTGAAGGAGTTGAAGGAGCTGTTGGAGGCCGCTTTTGAGCCGCGCGATATCACTCCGGTCGAGAAGTATTTGGGGCTCGAAATCGTGCGCGACCGTCCGGCGCAAAAGCTGTGGTTGCACCAGCAGTCCTACGTCGACAAGCTGCGTAGGCGCTTCATCGACGAGGAGCAGACTGGTCGGCGTCCGAAGACGCCTGTTTCCGTGGACGCTTACGCGGAGCTGACTTTCGACGACGAAGACTTTCAGTCGCGCGAAGAAGAGGAGTACCGTCAGAAGGTCGGTTCGCTGCAGTTCGCTGCCACAACAACTCGGCCCGACGTTGCTTTCGCGTGTAGCAAGCTGGGGTCTGGTCTGACGGTGAGGAGCGATCAGCACTGGCGCGAGGTCGATCGCTGCCTCACCTATCTTGCCGACACGCGCGATTTCGCTCTGGAGTTCGGAGGAGGACCCGAAACTCTGAAACTGGTCGGCTACGCGGACGCGGACGACGCCGTCAACAAGCAGAATCGCACTAGCACAAGTGGCTACGTTTTCACCTTCGGCGGCGCAGCTGTCTCCTGGACGAGCCAACGCATCAAGTGCGTGACTCTGTCCTCTACGGAGTCGGAGTACATCGCGGCCACTGAAGCTGGCAAGGAGGCCCGTCGACTTCGATTCCTCCTCGCCGAGTTCCAGCTCCTCGATGCTGGGACGCCGACTACTCTGAACGTGGACAATCAGTCCGCCATCGCGGTTGCTGAGGGCTTGGGGCTGAAGGGCAACCTCAAGCACATGGAGAGGCACTATGCTTGGCTGCAGCAGATGGTGAAGCGCAAGAAGATTGCGCTGGAGTACATCCCGACATCCGAGCAGCCGGCGGACTTCCTCACGAAAGGGCTGCACTTTCCGGCCTTCAACCGGTGCTCTGTCGCGGTCGGCCAGGTTCGCCTTGCCGACGTCAGCGACGACGACGACGTGCAGCAGTAGGTGCCATGTCCTCTAACATGGCTGGTGCGGTGATCGGCGTGCGGGAGTGTGCATGCCAGAGGAATATCCCCTTGTATTCTATTACTTAGGTTTTGGGTGGACCTTGTGTGTGGGTGCCCAAGCGTAAGCTGGGCAGGGGAGTGTCGTAGTGAAAGGCCCCGCCCTCGCTTGGGCGCAGGCATTCTCTGCGACGACGTGGTGAATTCGACGAAGTGATCGTTGCATTGGATCAGCCCGTCCTCTGAACCCGCGGGTGGTTTTCGAGGAGGTTGTCCTCTGATTCACCAGCCCGTCAACGAGCTCTGGTCGACGGGGTGCTGTTCGACGAGCTCGTCTTCTGATCTGCTTCTGGGTCGCGCGATCTCTGACGGACGAGGTGCTTTCCGAGGAGCCCCGTTCTCTGATCAAAGGGCGCTGTTCGGCGAGTCTCAACTCGGCGAACTGGCTGGCCGAATTCGCGCGACTGCGAAACTCTGCAAGGGCATGCGAAATTCGCTCAGGTGGCTCTTAGCGAAATTCGACCTGCGAAATGGCATCACGTGCTCGACGGTGGACACCTGACGAACCCGTCGGAGCGTTTTCTACCTGGCACCTGCGCAATGTCTCTGACGGTGCAACCGTCTACCTGCACCTACTCGGCAGGTGCACACCTGCGCAGATATTCACCTGCGAATGCAGCGCTGGCAGGCCGCCCTGTTGCAGCGCTGGCATGTCGCCCTTCTGCTCCGCTGGCAAACCGCTCTATTTCAGCGTTGGCGAACCGCTCTGATGCAGTGCTGGCAATTCGCCTTGCAGAATTCTTGCTAGGGATTGCAATGCCATTCCAGTGATATCACTTGCATGCTCTTCTTTGTACTCTAATTCTCAATTTTCAATGTTCTTTCAATGTCCTTAGTGGAAACTCTTGCCAAATTTCTCAGTGAACACAGCAAGTAGTAAGAACTCTGATAGAACGCTACTAGAGCGCGATCACCCACACAACTCCGTGCTCTCCTTCGTAGTCCACTCCCGTTGTAGGGTGACTCTCCGCAACGGCGCAGCGGCGAAGCTGGGACCGGGAGCTGTGGAGTTTAGGGGCGTGATGGTTGCGGTGGGCTGCAAAACGGTTGGGCGACAGTTCCTTTTAAATAAGGGTCCCCGACTCCGATAGTTTTTTCCCCTCCACCGTAGCCGGGTTCGCGCGGGCAACACCGACTATACCCCATCCGAAAAAAGCGGACGCTGGGTAAACGGCGGGAAGCGGGATTGTCGGGGGGTGAAACGACCAAAACGATTCATGAAGCTGCGGGTATTTCTTCGCTTCTTGGAGTGCGGTCGAGTCGTTGGGGGACTTCGCCTGAAGGGCACTTTTCGAAGTTGCCTGGCAAGAAACACAGCGGCCAGGAGACATAGGACCCCCGGTGTTTAAACGCACACCTCGGGAAATTCTTCAGAAAAAAGGGAGCGTGGGAGCAGTCGTAGCTTCGGGAACTTATCGACCGGCGACGAGTGATGCGGTGAAACATCTCCAAAGAGCTGGTGGGGGAAACGTGGGTTTTTGTTAAGCAACATCGGCAGGAGCAGTTTCGACGGCGGAGTCAACGGCGTTGATGCCACTAGGTTCCGTGAAATTCGGTCTCGGAAGACCCAGGGCAGTCCCTGGTTCTCGATTGAACCCACATGCTGGGGTCGGGTAACCGACGGAAACTGATGGTGACCGAGTGGGCGGCTATAGCACGTCCGAGATTTTCGGAGGAGAACTGCAACTGCAACTGCGTATTTACGAGGTTTGATTCGAGCGACTATTTCGGAGTTTTTACGTGGGGACCTACCGGTTTTACGGCAAAGAGCGCCGACAATTTCGGAGGAGTTGCGGCGTTTGGTTAAACGCGCGCGTCAAACGAAGTGGGTCAGTACCGCGAGATTTACACGGACTTTTTCAGGGGTACGAAGGACTTACGACGAACTGAAGAAGGAAGCAGCAACAGTGAAGGGGGGGAGAGACAGCTGTAAAATTTCATCCCTGCCCACGAATCATCGGCGCATTACGACAAAACTCTCGGAGAAACCATTCCAACTCTGCTACTGACAACTCGCCTTCGACCCGCCCACGACAACTGCACTTAATATCAACCACGTCAGGTGCTACCAGCTGCAACTGCTGGAGATACCACCGAAGATTCTGGACGTGTCACGACAAGAATTGACAGTTCGAGGTCTCTGATTAATTCGACACGGTTTCTGGGCTACATCTACGGGTTCGCCCTCGGAGAATTTTGGGGCACGTAATACCCGGTTTCGACATCGACTTTCCACACCGACACGTTTTCACCTGGACTTCTACGCTCAACGGCTTTCTGAGTGGGACTTAACACCTGGTTTTGTTGGAGTTTACTTCGGCGCAGCTGCGGGAAACATTTTGGTGTGTTTTCTTGGAGGGGGGGAGAAAGTGCGCTGCACTGTTCTTTCCATGGCGTTTTCTGACTTTGCCAGAATGCAGCAGCACGACAGACGGCTACGATCGCGACCTTGATATCAACGTTTTTGAGCAGCCACGATTGAATTTCGCGTCAGACTGTTCCCTCCAAAATCGCGTCAGCTTCGACCGTCAGATCTACATCTGCTCGATCGACGGCCCACATTCCAACCTTCACTTCATTTTGGGCCAGATCATCGTCGACCGTCAGATCGAAATCGGACTTCATCAACGGCCTACATTCCAACCTTTTCAAAAGTATTCTCAAAGACATTTCGGCCGTCGGATTCAGCTGAAGAGGAGATCTACGGAATCCTCGCTAGTGTGGGGCCTGTTTCAGTACAGGGCTGCCTTATTTAGAAGGTGGGAGAGTGTAAGGATTAACAAATCCTTACTGAGGCACTCGTTAGTGAGGCCATCCCGAGGGTCACGCGACGAACCTGTCTTGCCTATTTCGTCGCACCGAGCCACTCCCGAACGGCCTCCGCACCAATCGCAACCATCACCGAGCCATCTTCGCCCTACCTCTCCCCCTAGCTAGCATTTCCCCTATTTAGGCCTCGTCACTTTCATTGTATCGTCAGTTCTTTGAGTTCATTCTCGTTATTCGATATTCTGCGCACTCTGCAAGTTCATTCATAACACGCAGTGTCCCGAGTCGGAAAGAATGCGTATACCTTTACTGTCGTGTCACCCTCCCTGTGTGCTTCAGGGCCGAGACTCTGACGGACAGTGCATCGAAACTCGCGGCGCGGTACCATCCTGAAACGGGCACTCCAACCTCCGCCGCCCCGCTGACGTCACCTCGACACGTCGTCCGCCGTCCTGCTCTTCGAAACGTATTTTCGCCACTCATTCCCCCGCGCTAGCCGCAACCCCTATGCTGTCCCGCGACCCCACGCGTCACCCGCGCGCCACGCGTGCGGAGTAGAGGCGGGCGGGGCGTGCCACACAAAGGCTGGTGCGCCGCGCCACGCCAGTCGCGCTCATCCACCCCTCCCCCGTCGGTCGTAACCCTTTTCATGCGCCCCTCCATGCGCCCCACCGCGCCCCTCCGCGCGCTTTCTTTCCAAATTCCAAATCCCGCAGGCATTTCTCCCCATCTAATCCCACTCCCTCTCCCCTTTCCATCTCCAGACACTGGCAGCGGAGAGGACGCAGTGAGAGCGATAGCGGAGGCGGGGAGAGCGAGAGGAGGAGTGAGAAGGGCAGCGAGAGGCGCAACGTGAGGGGAAGCGGCATGGCGGGTTCGGTGCGGCTGCAGCGTCTGTGCGTCACCACACATCGCCAGCTGCTCGCACAGAGGTGACCGTAGTCGCATTGCACCACACTGCACCGCATTCCCGCACACCACACTGCACCGCATTCCCGCACACCACACTGCACCGTGCTGACACACGTGGCCATGCGAGCATGCATGTAACGCATTGCCGCACACCACACTGCACCGCATTCCCGCACACCCCCTGCGCCCTTCCTCTTCCCCCCCCTTCGCCTTCCCTGCCCGCCGTCCCCAGTGTTGTCGTCCCCACAGTCGCCCCGCCAGTCGGCATGGGGCTGGGTGTGAGGGCGTGGCAGCAGAAGGGGAGGCGGACAGGCGGATTGGGGGAGGGAGCAGGGCGGGGCGGAGAGCAAGTGAGTGGGCGATTGGCGAGGACGGCGAACAGCAATGAAGTCTGGAGAAGCGGCAGGGAGGGCAGCAGCAGCAGCTGGGGCAGTGTGAGTGGCAGCAGCGGGGGCAGGCGAAGGCAGGCAGGCAGCAGCAGGTGCGGCGGTGGTGCGTGGCGTGGCGTGTGTCGTGTTGCGAGGCCTGTGGTGTGGCTGCCAGGGGCGCACGGCATCAAGCAACAGTGCCTGGCACGAAGGGCGGGCAGGAGGGTGCGCGCTGTGGGTGGTGGGGCTGGGGCGGAGCAAGGGGGGAGAGAGAGGAATGAGGAAGAGGGGAGAGCGGCGGACGTGGCGGGGCAAGGCCTTGCAGTGGGGGCATTGGGAGCGAAGGAGGAGGAGGAGGGGAAGGGGAAGGAGGAAGGGAAGGGGAAGGAGGGCACGTGGGCGGGCAGCAGCCACCGCGTTCTGTTCTGCTCGCAGTGCGGCTCTCCCACCAATCACACTGTGCCACCTGGTGAGTTCCTTGCTCTCACCCTCTCATCATCATCATCATCATCATCATCATCATCATCATCATCATCATCATCATCATCATCATCATCATCATCATCATCATCATCATCATCATCAACCCATCCCCATCCCAATGCCCATCCCAATCCCCATCCCAATGCCCATCCCCATTCCCATTCCCATCCCCATCCCCATCCCTGTCCTCCACTGTCCCACCTGTCGGCAAGAACCCAGCAACCCACATCCCTGTCGCCATTCCCCACCTCGCCTGACCCATCCCAATTCAAGAATCTCCTCATAGTACCACTCCCCACCACTTTGCACTCCTGGCAGGTGCTGCTGTGTAGAAGGGGCATCCCACCGTGTGAAGGCATGTGGGGCTTCCCTCAAGGTGCGTCGCTCCCGGTGCTTCCCAACCCCATCGTATACTTTTTCCATGCCACATCATGCCGGGCCATGCCACACCACACCATACCATGCCATGCCACACCACACCATGCCACACCACACCATGCCACACCACACCATGCCGCACCACACCAGGGTTCTTGGAGCTGGGCGAGTCGTCGAGGGAGGGCGCGGAGAGGGAGGTGCGCGAGGAGGCGTGCGCAGAGGCGCGAGTGAGAAGCCTGCTGGCCGTCTACAACATTCCCAACCAGGTCAGCAGTTGAATTTGCTGATAGCAAAGCAGGTCAGTTGAACCCAGCCATTCCCAGCCAAGCGCAGTCAGCTCCTGCACTGGCTGCCAGCCCCCTCGATCGCTGCTTCCTCATGATGCATGCCATCCTCATGGTGCATGCCATCCTCATGGTGCATGCCATCCTCATGGTGCATGCCATCCTCATGGTGCATGCCATCCTCATGGTGCATGCCATCCTCATGGTGCATGCCATCCTCATGGTGCATGCCATCCTCATGGTGCATGCCATCCTCATGGTGCATGCCATCCTCATGGTGCATGCCATCCTCATGGTGCATGCCATCCTCATGGTGCATGCCATCCTCATGGTGCATGCCATCCTCATGGTGCATGCCATCCTCATGGTGCATGCCATCCTCATGGTGCATGCCATCCTCATGGTGCATGCCATCCTCATGGTGCATGCCATCCTCATGGTGCATGCCATCCTCATGGTGCATGCCATCCTCATGGTGCATGCCATCCTCATCCTCATCCACTTGAAAACTCATCTGGTTAAAAAGAAAGGCTTCCGGCAATCTGTGGCATGAACATGCATTCAGCTGAACACTACGCCCTTTCCCCATCAAGCTAGACCAGGCAGTGGAAGTGCTGCCCTTGTCACCACGACCCTGACGTGTGCATGTGTGCCGCCCATCCTTCCCCCTGCCCATCCTTCCCCCTTCCCATCCTTCCCCCTGCCCATCCTTCCCCCTGCCCATCTTTCCCCCTGCCCATCTTTCCCCCTGCCCATCCTTCCCCCTGCCCATCCTTCCCCCTGCCCATCCTTCCCCCGTTTCGTATCCTTCTCTGCCACCATGTGCCGCCCACCAGGTGCAGATCATCTACCTTGCTGACCTCCTCTCACCACACTGTGCCGCTGGTAGGCCCGCCTGCTGCTGCCATGCCCGTGTGCTGCTCTGCCAACCCAAGCACCATGCTCTGTCACCCTTCCTTCCTCACCGTCCTGTCATATGCGCCCCTATGCCCTGTATTACCAGTATTTCAGTATCAAGTGCCCCTGCTGCTTACACTTGCCTCATTCCCAGCCTTGTCATGCTTGACTCGCTGTCTGCTGCATGCCTGTTATCCACGACATGCCGGATCTGGGAAAAAAACTACTTGGCTGTCATCCAATTCGTTCTGTGCTCACGCCCTTCTGAATCACCTGTCACTCCTCCGTCACCTGCAGGCTCAGAGACGCTAGAGGCGGGTCCCTTTGACTGGGACGATATTCCCTTCCATCACCTCGCCTTCCCCACTGTATGCTCCTCGCCTTCCCCACTGTATGCTCCTCGCCTTCCCCACTGTATGCTCCTCGCCTTCCCCACTGTATGCTCCTCGCCTTCCCCACTGTATGCTCCTCGCCTTCCCCACTGTATGCTCCTCGCCTTCCCCACTGTATGCTCCTCGCCTTCCCCACTGTATGCTCCTCGCCTTCCCCACTGTATGCTCCTCGCCTTCCCCACTGTATGCTCCTCGCCTTCCCCACTGTATGCTCCTCGCCTTCCCCACTGTATGCTCCTCGCCTTCCCCACTGTATGCTCCTCGCCTTCCCCACTGTATGCTCCTCGCCTTCCCCACTGTATGCTCCTCGCCTTCCCCACTGTATGCTCCTCGCCTTCCCCACTGTATGCTCCTCGCCTTCCCCACTGTATGCTCCTCGCCTTCCCCACTGTATGCTCCTCGCCTTCCCCACTGTATGCTCCTCGCCTTCCCCACTGCACACACACTCTCATTGACAGCAGTCTGGCATGAGCGTATGGCGGGCCTCCTCCAATCCATCTCGTCTCTCTTTCGCATGCCTGTCATGTGTGTCTCCAACACCACCCACCACCGATCCCCACCAGGTGGCATGGGCGTTGGAGCATGCACGGCAGCAGCTGCAGCACCCGCAGACGCTCATTCAGCCGCAGCTGAGGACCAAAGTGGTCGGCACCACTGGCATGTTCAGCGGCTCCTATGTGGATGCATAACCAGAGTTCTTGCTATGGTTTAGGCTCTGAAAGCTGTGCTGACAGACTCTTGTTGGGTCGCAGTGAAGACTCGTGCAGAAAGAGCTGGTGAGATCTGTCAACCGCCCTCCCTCATCCAGGCCTTCAGATATCAGCGTGAAAGGCTGCTTTGACTGTTTGTCTGCCTTCTTTGTACCAGGGCTGAACTGCGAAGTGAAAGTGAATCTACCAGGACATTCTGCCGTTTTAAGCCGATTTCACAATTTTCCTGTGTAAAAATGTTGGACAACGCTGATTTTTCAGCCTTGCCCGGACCAGAACCAATGACAGCCTGCTCTCATTGTAGAAAGATTTTGCATAGTGATGTTGCAAGGCCCAAGTATCAAGTTCCATTTTTATTGAAAAGTACAACAATTTTTGCGTTTTTAGCACATTCTTTACTGGTATATATAGAGTCATCTATCCCACAACTACGCCATTCAAGAACATTTCATTATACCGTATTCTCCCGGCTATAGGACCCGCCGGTAAAAGGGTCCCCGGTGTCAACGGGAGTTGTGTTTTGGCCCCGTCCTTGCTTGCACAGACAGAGCCGACTTTGTGGTCGGGTGTGCGGGAGGTGCAGCCGACTTGCAGCAGTGGGCGGCGCCGACTTGAGCAAGCTGGTCGACGGAGTACAGTAGGTCGACCTGCACGGGGCCACTACGAAGCCGCCGACTTTGGGACGCCGGCGTCAGACTTCGACACTGGGAGGTCGACCTGGCGAGGTCGACTTGGGAGGGTGTCTACTTGGTGACGCGGACCCGGTGGCGTCGACTTGGTGACACCAACCTGGTGCAGCCGACTTGGCGTGGTCGGTTGACAGCTGAAGGTGGTCGACCTGGAGTTGGTCGACCAAGGGTGTGGTCGATTTGGTGAAGTTGACCGATGGTGGTCGTCGTCCTGGGCGGTCGATGGGCACGAGGAGAAGCTGCTGGTCGATGGGGTTGCCAGTCGACCAGGTTACCCGGGTGACGGGGTTCTGTGGAGGAGCGCGACAGTCGCACGGGTGGTCCTGGCGAAGACGACCTCGGTGGTGGTATCCCGAGGTCGACATGGCGGATCACATGCGTTGTGCGCACATGGTCGGCTTGGCGTCTGGGCTGTGCACGTGACGGGGCACGGCACGTCAACCAGCTGCGAGCACCTGTGAAGCGGGTGCGCTGCTGTGCTGCGGGTGCAACGCTCTGCAGCCGCCTTGCTGCAGCGTTGGCACGCCGTCGACTTGCAACGTTGGCGGACCGCAAATTTGCACAGTTGGAACGCGGTCGACCGTGCTGCACTGGGGGTCGATCAGCTTGCATGCTAGGCAGACTTGCTTCGTGATGTAGTCAACTTTGCCAATGATGTTGCAACCATTGTTGTCAATCTTTGCTAGTGAAACTCTTGCCAATTCTCCCAGTGAATGAGTGCGTAGAGAGAATACAAGCAAACGTGCAAGGAACGCTACAATCACTCCTACCCCGTGCCTTTCCTGTAGTCTAGCTCCCGTTGTAGTAGTTATCTTCGCATGGTGCGGTGAGCATGGACGGCACCGCAACGATACCTTCGGTTTAGCTGACTTGCGCATGACCTATTTCGTTCGTAGGCTGGCAGCTGTGCTAGTCACCATGGTTGGTCCCGTCGCTAACGCGGGAGTAGTGGATACCCTGGAGACGCGGCTGGCAGATGCGAGGAGACGCCATGAGGATGGCGAGTATGGCCAGACCCTCCCCTTGGACGTCGTCGAGCTGGGCATCCGCGCAAAGTGGGCGACGGAACACCCTTCTCAACCTGCTTCTCCTCGACTTGTGAACAACGAAGGTGGCGTCGACTTAAGCGTCAACGCCGGTGACCAAGTCGGCAGTAGTGCGGGAGGCACGTCGAGGCAGAGAGGGGTGTTCCGGACGGCCGACGATGAAGTCGGCGGCGTTCAGGCGTGAGGGCAGCAGACGTCGGCGGCTGCGGGCTCCTCGCACGGCGACGTCCAGGGAGCTTGACGCCGGCTTCGGCGACACATGTGACTGCAGTATAGATCGCACCGACCTACAAGTACTTCAAGTTTCCGCCGGACAAGGTCTTCGTCACGGCGCCCCTGGTCGGTCGGCACGACCTTCTCACGTGGAAGGAATCCATCGAGCCCCAGCTGGAGAGGGTCGGGCAGATGTGCTTCGCCGACGGCACCGTAGAGATGCCGTCTGCGAGCAATGCCGTGCGGAGTTCCGCGCCGTGCAGCTGCTGACCTTCACGGTCATCTCGCGGGGCTGCTCGCCGGTGGTGCAGATTGCCTTGAATTCATGCCGGAGACATGTGGACACCAGCCACCACGCGTGGCAGTTCATCACGTTGACGTATCAGGCCATCGACGACCTGTACATCGGCTAGCTGACGTTGAAGACGCCCTCTGTGCACAAGTTACAGCTCGCCAAACAGATTGGGACCTCCACCTCACTGCCATCGAACTCGCATACAACAGCACACCCAACCTTTCCACCGGTCAGCCACCCTTCTACCTCGCAACGGCACAGCACCCACGCCTCCAACAACCCCACCCTCTCATCTCTCACACACACCAGCAGCCTTTGAGTTCCTCACTTCACTCGAATCAGCCATTGATGCCGCTCGCACCTCCATCTTTACAGACCCACTATGCCAACTCCAACCGCAAAGATATCCGCTTCAAGGTTGGCGATCCTGTGCTTCTCTCCACTGACCACCTACCTCTCCTACGCAAAGGCACAACCAGACAACTCGTCCCTCGCTTCATTGGCCCGTTCACCATCACCCGGGTCTTCTCACCAATCACCTACCGTCTCCAACTGCCCATCTATATGAGTATTCACCCCGTCTTTCATGTCCATCGCCTCCGCCCTTTCCGTGCACCTTCACATGACCGTCCAGCCACGCGCCAACTGCCACCGATGTTCGAAGGCAGGCCCAGCCTGTTTGAGGTTGCATCTATCACCACTCAAGGCGACACACCTCATGGTCATGAGTTTCTTGTTCATTGGAAGGATCAGCCTGCTAGTGAAGACTCGTGGGAACCCGAGAGCCACCTTGACGGTGCTGCAATGAATCGTTACTTGACCAGCCATGGTTTGGCGCCGTGGACGACGCCACTTGGAGGGGGAAGTAATGTAACAATGCAGCAGCCGAATGCTGCCAACTGCAATACAGGTGGACAGAAGTCAAGCGCCACCTCATCAACGGTCCGGATTGGTCAAGCGCATCAACCTGCAGTTGGGCGACAAAGTTCTGACACGCAGCCCACGGGCGATTTTTACGAAGCGCAGAACAACGAAGTTCTGACCACTCGACGACTTCGCCAACCGCACCGACGAAATTACAGCCCCGTAACCAAGCTCGCCGTCCAATCCCGTACCGCAATATTTCTATGAATTTCATGGCAGGTTCATTTCTAAGGGTTGGGTTACAAGCGAAAGTGGAAGTGCTCGACCGTGTGCCGGCACCAAGGGACCAATATACGCTAAGGGCGGTGCTGTGTTTCCAGGGGTATTACAGACGATTCGTGCCGAACTTCAGCAAGACGGCGTCGGTTTTGAACAAGCTGCTGAGAGAAGTGCAGGCATTGTAGTGGGGGACGGAGAGTGGTGCAGCACACCCATGTTCAGCAGCATCGTTCGCACCGACTCAACCACCGTCCTCATCTCCCGCTCCGCAATACCGTTTTGCTGCGGGGTGTATGTGCAGGTTAAGTCATGACAATTCCATTACCGTCCACAAAGTCGGTGAATTGCTTCCCAAGGAACTCCCCTCCGTGGTCAGAGCGCAGCATCAACACCGACTTCTTCGTCTGTGGCCCAGCCAGCAGCAGCCACTTCTCAAACTCCCGTAGCACGTCGGACTTCTTGGCGACCGGCCTCACCCACACGTAACGGGTCTTACAGTCTTTCAGCAGCAAGAAGTAGAGGCTGCCATCCTTGGCGCCCACTCGGAATGGCCCGCACAGGTCGATGTGCATGACAGCCAAGGCGTCGTTGGCGTCAGAGCCCTTGTCAGGGAAGGTGTGCCGCGCCAGCTTCGCGCCGGCACACGATACACACGGAGAGTCGGTGCCGGCCGACGGCTTGATGTCCAGGCCGGTGGCGACCTCGTGCTTCCTCGAGCTCGTGATGGTGTCAACGCCGACGTGTGCAAGCCTCACATGCCATCTAGCCGGCGTCGACTTCGTCGCTGTGGCGATGGTCCGTAGGGCCACCATCGCTGTTGCGGCCGTCGTCGACGGCGTCGTGTACAGTCGCAAGTTGGTACAGAGAACCCAGCCGGTGTACTTTGGCCGATCAATCACGTCACCCGCCGCCGAGACGAGCACCATCTCGTCGCCGTCGTCCTGCAATCACATGCCGCTCTCCTGCAGCTGGCCGGCAAACAGCAGGTTTGCCTGCACATCTAGGACATAGAGGACGTCGGGGACGAGCACCTGCTTCCCGGCCTCCCCTTGCAGAGCGACAGTTCCGCGGCCTTGGATGAGCCGCAGCGCCCCGTTGAAGCCGCGCACGTGCTTGACGTCGCCGCTCAGTCCCTGGCCGACGAAGGCCTCCTTCGTCCCCATCAGGTGGTGCGAGCAGCCGCTGTCGAGCAGGACCACCGCCGGATTCTCATGCACGGCTGCCGCCACCACCTGGACGTCCTCGCCGGCCTCCGGCGCCAGCGAGACGGTCGGCTCCGCGACGCCGAACAGCGAGCAGGACGCCTCCCGGTCGCCTCGCCCCTTGCCACCAAAGGAGGAGTCGGCGTCCTTTGCTGATGTCGACTTTGTCGGCTGCTTCTCCTTGCGCGGCTTGCTCTCCTGACGTGGGCGACGACCAGCCGACCTCCCGCGGCCTCCCTTGGTGTCATCGTCGTTGGAGTCCCCACGATCGGGACACTCGAAGGAGAGGTGGTTGGGGTCGCCGCACAACCAGCACTCCCGCCGTCGACCTCCTCCTCCACGACCACCCTCCTTAGCCGACTTCGCCTTGTCGGCGTCCTTGGCCAGCCTT